GCGTGTGCGTGTGCGTGTGCGTGTTCGTGTGCGTGTGCGTGTGCGTGGTGCGTGTGCGTGGGCGTGTGCGTGTGCGTGTGCGTGTGCGTGTGCGTGTCTTGCGTGAGCGTGTGCGTGTGCGTGTGCGTGTGCGTGTGCGTGTGCGTGTGCGTGTGCGTGTGCGTGTGCGTGTGCGTGTGCGTGTGCGTGTGCGTGTGCGTGTGCGTGTGCGTGTGCTTGTGCGTGTGCGTGTGCGTGTGCGTGTGCGTGTGCGTGTGTGTGTGTGTGTGTGTGTGTGTGTGTGTGTGTGTGTGTGTGTGTGTGTGTGTGTGTGTGACAATTGTTTTTGTGTGCATAAATTTCCCCCCTGCAAAAAATGACAAACTGTTCTGTATCGGGAAAAAAACGCTATGGCTTCTCACCTCCGGTCCGCCAATGACCCGTGTTGCTCTGTGACATACATAGATGTTTTTTTATTTTGACACAAACAACGTATTTCAATTTTTTATCGAATGTAATAAATTTAATGCTTTGGTCCAAATGCTGCCACCTATTTGTACAGATATTAAAAGAAAAAATTACAAATTCTTTAATTTACCTACGAGCACCTTCGTTTTATCTCGTTCTACCTCTGAAATAATAGCATCGTTTAGTTAAAAATGATGTTAACATTAAGAAAAATCAAGGAGAATCAAAGAGGTACCTTCTATTTTAAAACTAGTTTCCGACGCAGCGCCGGCATCTACCGCGTGTTTCTAAAACATTAAATCACAATGAAACGCGAAAATATAAGTACAATTAATTTTGTTCAATGAGGAAGGAGGCATCCACGGCTTATTTTGCCACTTAAGAACCAAGTGAATTAGGTATTTAACAGATCTCATGACGAGGGAAGCTAATTTGTTCAGAAAATGTGAGGGTTAATGTTGATGACAAATTAAATCACTGGTACTACCAAAATTATCTAAATTAAAAGAGAGTTTAATTATTAAGAAGCAAACCACTTGTTTTGTGTATTAATATACTGTAAAAACTGTTAAACCTATATTATAAACGTAACTCCTTAATTATAATGATTTTTGTAACAAATAAATTCACCTCAGTCCTAATCTGCACCTAGCGACATCTAGTGAGGGGAAGACTAAGATAGAAGCATTCTACCTTAGTCCTCATGGGCGACAAATCATCTGAATTTTGATTCCTAATCGAAGATTAATGTAGATGTCTATGGGCCACAACACCCGCTTTACCAATCAGGGGTGAACTGTGTGCACGTTTGTCACCCCCCCCCCATATAAAAAAAGAAAATTATAAGGAAAGTTTTCGTGGAGGAATGGAAAGGTCTACGTGATTGGTCCGTTAGTTAATCTTCGTCATTCATAAGAAATTTACTTGTCATTCGCTTGCAGTTTATTGGCTGGAAAATGAACCACAAACAATGTCACTTGGTGCAACATTGGATTATTTATTTTTATAATTGCTTTAATTGTCATACTTGGCAGACGAATTGACGAATACAGTACCATATGTCTCGCACCTTCGACGTTACTCCCTGTTTCCGAAGGTCTGTATATTTTACGTCTGGAGTAAAAGAGATGATAACACTGTCATCTATTGACAGCCACATGACTTCCTATAATTTACAACACCCACGTGATGAAATGAGAAGATTTAGATTTTTTTTATAGGAATAGGTGACAAACGAGCACACAGTCCACCTGATGGTAAATGGTTGCTGCGGCCCATAGACATCTACATCTATCCTTGATTACAAATCAAAATGCAGATGCGTCGTCACCCGTGAGGACTAAGATGGAATGCTTCGTTTCCAGTAAAAAGGGTCTCCGGTTCTCTACACTCAACATACGAAACACAGCAGCATTAAGCTACTATTTCACGCTGGTATTCTGTGAGAGCGTGGTCCTTCCCCGCTCGAGCCGACCCATTCATGCTACAACTATACCTACTACTAATATAACTGCAGCATGGCTCTACCACTTAGATGTTTGAAGATATAGATGGTTTGAAATTATGAAGGAAAATTTTGCACCAAAATATTTTTTACGCGACATAGGTCATAAGCTGATAAGTTAATTGTTGGCATACCTTTACCTTATCATGTTTTTTTCCCTTGCCATCTATTTCTTCGTCGCCCCCATAAATTTTTCCTGTATTTTGATCTTGTTTACTCATCTTTTCTTCATTTTTTTGTCTACCAGGCTCCTCTAAACCGTCATCATTATCAGTAAAATCTTCATCTGATAAATCTTTACTATCATTGTGTGAAGTGACTCTGTCTTTTCCTGTTTTACCATCATACTTTCTTGCAGAACCTTTACTAGTTTTCTTTTCCTTACGTCCATGATGATCGACATCTTCCACGTTACTTTCTCTACCTTTTGATTTCATTTTACCCCTCTTTTCTTTTCTACTTTTGTCCCTTTCTGGAGATCTCTTCGTTGGTGGATGCTCTACTTCATCAGTTATTGATATTGTAGGACTGTCGGAAAAATCACTGTGAATGTCCGCGGGAGCATGTCCACGTTTACCAACTTTTTTTCGTTTCGACAATGATGCGTCAGTTCTGATTTCCACTTGCTGCTCGAGCATGCGCAATTGTCGTGCCAGTATATGTAACACCATCTGAATCACGTTGAAGTTTACCACATTTAACTGAAAAAAAAAACGAGGAACATTAATAATTAATATTAATTGTGAAATCCTTAAATGTGCCTTAATTTCCTTTTCCTTAGCAGCCGTTTTGAACCCACTGTCGCTTCAAAAGGTTGCTACGGAAAAAGCATTCGATTTTTCAACAAGTACCTGATTACTTGCATTTAAGAACACTGATTACAAAAGCGTATTATACAATTGATAATTTAAAAACGCATTTTCGTTCGAAGTCGACAAGTTTTATACACGAAATTTCTAACAAATATTATTTTAGTATTATACCAAGTATTATTAGTAATATTTACATATTTAAATATTAAACGTATACTAAAATTTTTATTTGTTCATGTGTATATTGTAATGACTATTCATGAGAGCTTGTAAGTGTACCTGTGCAAATAAAAAATAAAAATATTATATTGGTGTCATAAAGACTGGCCATAGGCCTTTTTAACATTACGCCAAATATACCATTCTTGGTAGGTTTTATCTATTCAACATGCTGGGTTGCGGTCTTAGTGACCTTTGCAATGATTAGCATTCTCCGTCTGTAATATTTTTAACTTCCCGCTATGAAAATCAACGATAAGAGTTTAATAAAAAGAAAAGGTTCTTTTAAACTAATGTATTGATGGTTCCAAAATCTAAAATCTCTTATCTCAATATACAACATCAATTACCGCAAATCGCAACAAAATGGATTCATTCGTTCAACAGAAATCGTTGTTGAAAAATTTCGACTTGACAGTTTTATGCCCCATCCTTTTATGAATAAGTGGACTTTGGGGCGCTTTGCATTTGAAATTAGCAGGAAGTTGCAGAGACGGCCTGTAAGGTCAACCGTATTTTTTTCATCAAATTGAAGTGACAAACGCACCACCTGGTGGAAATTGGCTACTGCAGCTGTAGTTGTAATAAAAATCTGAATCTAAAATATGTAACCATTTGTCATTATTTATAGTAAGAATATACCGTATATGAAATTAATTCTAAGATAAACATTTTAACCTTATAATCAACTATTACTATTATTATTATTGCACATATAACAGGCTCATTAATCTATAATAAACCAGTTATCATTTCGCATTTGTGGTATTCACTTCAAACTACACCCTTTAACATCACAGGAGCAGCAGCATATTCTGTCCGTTCAGTGCGCTACCGGAATTATTACGGGGAAAGGGCTTCTGTTTCTTTCCGTCCACTTTACTGCCAGAGGCAGTGTTCTTCGAACAGGTTCAGAGTGCCTCTGTACGCTCTCGGATTTATTTTTAGACAGCCGCTGCTTACTGGAAAGTTGACTATCTGCAGCTGATGCATGTCGATATGTTGACATGCTTACATTTGACTTGGGTTTTACTTTACTTGCAGTGCGGGCGGCCGCCTTGGAACTATGACGAGTCCTATTTTATTGGTTCGAAGCTCACTTGCCACGCATTGACCGTACCGTGACGTGTGTCGTTAATGCTACCCGCTATAGTGTTACGCAAATCTATTAGTTCGGTACGCAGCTCGCTGATGGTAGAGTAGCTTTTAAACATATTATATCTTTCACCAGCTTGGTGAAGTCAACGTGAACAAACGTGATCATCTTGCGCAAGTGCCTTGCTTATAAAAAAAAGGCACAGCGTGCGTGTCGGTCTCCTTCAACACTTTTATGATGTCTTGGAGATACCTCTCTCCCCTTTCATCCCTCCTTCGGAACGGCATACGGTCGACCGTATACATTAATCCATTCAATCAATTTTTCCATTAAATAGCCTTATATAAATGTACCTACTTAACTACTAAAAAAACTGAACTTGTGTAATATCTTTGTAAGTGGTCATACTCCGTAGACAACTTCAGACAGAAAAGGTTACAGGTGAGATGTCCCATGAGGACTAAGATGGAATGTCTCGCAGCCTGTAAATCTTTCTATTCGAATCATTGTATCCATATTATTAAACAGGTATATTTTACATGTATTTTACGTTATTATTCTATCTTTGATTTCGATGCTACATGTTCCCAAAGAGTAGGTACATTCAATCAATGTTCCGTGTTCTGTCAAGTGACGCTGGACTGCAGCGGTATATAATACATGAATAGTATTATCTCTATTCTGACCGTCAGACCCGAACACACCAATGTCATCAAGCACTGCTATTTGGCGTCAGGAATAGGTAAGAGGTTCGTACCAACCCAGACGGACGCCTATGCTGGGATCGATCCTGTAATTTTCCCAGTAATACTCATGTAATACTTACATTATCGGTCCTTATGGCCATATAGATGAGATCCTCGACCTTTACAAGCATCGAACTGTCGCTCATATTTGGTTCGTCGCGTTTCCATCGCATCATTTTAATAATAAAATATTTAAATCGGCTGAAGGTTTCAACAAAACTATTATAATATTAAGATTAAATGTTCACAAATGACTGTCAATAATCATATAATTCTGACGTTTAAAGTCAAAGAGAATGTAACTACAGTGAGTTCTGTCAGGGTTAAAAACGAAGAAAGAAGTTAACTAGATTGGATCTTCTTGGTTTATTCGTGTTTTTTGAGTGAACGCACTGAGGTTGAGATCCGGTTCTAGGAAGATTTAATAATAATAATAAGGCGTAGGGAATTGACGATCCCATCACACGCTGACGGGACAGTTAAGTGACGAAACTGCTACGTCAGCGCAGTCAGTCAGCGCCTTGCCAAGAGGTATGAGCGCCGTGCCTCGGCAGTATTTAGGGTGCTAAGCCCCGTTTGTGCTTATGGCCACACACGATACGATGCAAGGCCTCCCTGGCTCAAACCGGGGTGGTACCACGACCTCACAGAATACCGGCGTGAAGTGGAAGCTCTGCTTCCGCGTTTCATCTGGTGAGTGCAGGTGGCCGGAGGCCCAAACCCCCCCCCTCCCCCCTCCCCCCATCAACATGGTAGCGGAATTAAATGATGATAGACGACTACCCCAGGAGGGTACCAGCACCCCTGGAGAATCCCTCGCTGAGCATCAACAACCATGTTTCTCCACTTCTAAGCGTGGGTGCTCAGGCTGCCCTGCGTCTTCTGGAGGGGGGGGGGGGGCAAAATTCCGCTCAAGACTACAACTGCTCGGGGCAAACAGAGCAACAAGACCAAGGCGACCCCTGCCACGCTGTCCGTGAATTTCTGCAATATCAGGGGACTTCACTCTAACCTAAACGCCGTCCACTACCATCTCGAGACGGCGAGGCCGGCTCTGCTCTTTCTGACCGAGACGCAGGTGTCCTCTCCGGCTGATGTCTCGTATCTCTCCTACCCGGGGTACAAACTGGAACACTCCTTTGTGCCTCGGGCTGGAGTTTGCGTTTACGTCAAAGAGGACATCTGTTCTCGACGCCTCGGCAGACTTGAAGGTTCGGACCTGTCCATCCTTTGGCTACGCGTAGACAGCGACGACCATCCGCGCATCTACGGGTGCCTCTATAGGTCCCATAGCGGTAATGCTGAAACAGACCGACTCTTCGACCACGTCCAAATGGCTACAGATTCGTTGCTGCAGCAGATCCCCTCCTCAGAGATCGTGATCATGATTGGTTCACGTTTAACCGATCATGCAGGGAGATCTGTTCATGATTTTGCCTTGGCATATTGTCTGACACAACTGGTTTACTTCGCCTACGCGGATTCCAGATGTGGAGGATCATGCACTTTCCCTGTTGGACCTTCTGCTGACCACTCACCCGAACGGATATCAGATTTCCGTCGACGCCCCTTTAGGCTCCTCGGTCCATTGTATTGTCCGGAGTGTGGTGCCACTCACGCTGAAATCGCAGTTGCATTCTGCAGGCTGGCGCCGTGTTTGGCACTATAGGTCAGCTGATTGGGATGGGATGCAGTCTTTCTTTGCATCCTACCCTTGGGGGCGGGTTTGCATCTCACCGGACGATCCCAACGTTGTTTGGAATTGGAATTGGAACTTTTTATTCCTTCCTCTGTGGTGCCCATTGGATGCAAATCTCAGCTTTGGTTTGGTCGCTCCTGTAAAATAGCATCATGCTACAAGCAGGAGTGCTTTCTTTGCGTCCAACTCGACTCTCGATGACGGGGGGAGTACGCCGCTGACCATCCCGCATGTGAGTGCTCCATGCCGGAAGTGCAGTTCACACAGCGCACAGTTCGCAAAGCACTCCTCTCCCTGGATATCCACAAGTCGAGTGGGCCTGACGGAATCCCCCCAATTGTGCTGAGGACGTGTGCTCCAGAGTTGGCACCGGTTTTAACGCGTCTTTTCCGGTACTCTTACTCCCTAGGCGTAGTCCCAAAATCATGGAAGACGGCTTTCGTCCACCCGATCCCTAAAAAATGCGACCGCTCAGACCCGTCCAACTACCGGCCTATCGCCATCACCTCCTTGTTCTCCAAAACAGTGGAGTCTATTATAAACTGCCGGCTCATGAGGTACCTTGAGGATCACCAGCCGATTAGTGACCGCCAATACGGTTTTCGCCGTGGTCGGTCAGCTGGTGATCTTCTGGTCTACCTAACTCACAGATGGGCGGAGGCAGGAGTCAAGGGGGAGGCATTGGCCGTTACTTTGGACATTGCGAAGGCCTTCGATCGGGTTTGGCACAAAGCGCTTCTTTCGAAGCTCCCTTCCTATGGGCTTCCCGAGAAATAGTGCGATTGGATCACCAGCTTTCTTGCAGATCGGAACATCAAGGTCGTTGTAGACGGTGCAAGCTCCGATTGCAAGCCTATTAATGCTGGTGTTCCACAAGGCTGCGTGCTATCGCCAACGCTGTTTCTTCTGTATATCAATGATATGTTGCAAACCCGTAACATTCATTTATTTTGTTTTATTATTATTATTGGGGTATCTATATAATTTTCTCACCTGGTTGGGTTCTATAAATATATAATTATAAATTAAAATGAAAAGATAAATGTACATAAATATCAATAAAATAAAATAAATACAAAAACTACATAAATAAATAAGATCCAACCAGATGGGAGCCCTCCGCAGGGGAGACCAGACGGCCGAGGGTTAGGGGGAAAGGGAAAGAAACCGGCGGACGATGCGGGCGGTATCGAAGTGCACCGCCTTCTGCATTTGAGCCCGGAGCGGTCCGTCACGGAGTCCCAGTCGCCTCAGATGACCCGAGAGGCTGACTGGGATTAGCCCATTCGCAGAGACGACTACAGGAATAATTTCGGTCGACACACCACCCCACATGTCGGTCACCTCGTGAGCCAGGTCCAGATATTTTGTTTGTTTATCTGTTTCGGCTTTAACGAGGTTCTCGTCATACGGAATGGTAATGTCGATCAAAAATATCCTTGACTGTGCCCGGTCCATCAGCACAATATCAGGCTTATTCGCAAGAATAGTCCTGTCTGTGATGATGGCCCGGTCCCAGTAGAGCCTGGCGCGGTCATTTTTGAGCACGGCTTCCGGCAAGTACTTGTAATACGGCAATTTCCGGTCCACGAGACCGTATTTCAGAGCGAGCTCCTGGTGTAGAATTCTGGCTACTAGGTTGTGCCTGTGCAAGTACTCAGAGTTAGAAAGCGCCGAACAACCGGAGATGACATGCCTAAGTGACTCCCCGGGATGGCGACAAGCTCGACAGACGTCGACAGTGCCACCCTTTAGGATGTATCTCCGATAGTTGTTGGTCTTAATAACCTGATCCTGTATTGCACAGACAAAACCCTCGGTTTCCCCCGAAGAGGTCACTGAAACGTAGCCAGTTGAGGGAGGCGGCTGTATCTACGTGAGGCTCATGTAGAGCCCTGTAGTACCTCCCATGGAGCTCCTTCTCCTTCCATACGGTCTCCCGGTCGGAAATGCTCTGTACTGCCGGGTCTTGCCATTGCTCGTTGGCTAAGGATAGAGGGGTAAGTCCTTTATCACTAGAAATGACGTCATTATAGAATGGATCATCCGATCTCGCCAGGAAGTAATGACGGAGGCTGCACACTTCGCGATTATGCATGGTGAGCGCGCTCAGGAAGCCACGCCCACCATGCTTTCGAGGCAAGTACAGCCTCATTACCGACGATCTCCGATGATGCATCCTATGGAACGTCATTGTAGTGCGGACTTTTCTATACAGGGCGTTAAGTTCAGTCTGACTCCACCTGAGTATGCCAAAGGTATACATGAGGACAGGCATGACCCAACCGTTATATGCATGTGTCTTATTCACACCGGACAAAAGGCTGTTAATCACTTTGGTCAAGCGTGCATAAAACATTAACATTATTAATGTTTATTAACATTATTATTGTTAAATAATTATTTAATATTAACATTCATTATATTATATAAACATACACACATTGAATTTGGAATACGGCTATATAATTGTTATTATTTATTAATTGTTTATGACATTTAATTTATTATTATAGGTAGTGTAATCAGCACAGTTGATTTTTATTAAATTATATGAATCATTTTAAGTTTTATTAGAATTGTTTTATTGTAATTTATTTAGTAGGATGGCATTTCATTATTACCTAACATATTTATATTTTCATATCTATATTATATTATATTTTTATCTTCTAAAAATTCAAATGTACTATAGTAACACTTGTTTATAAGTAGTTGCTTTAATTTTTTTACAAATGGTTTTTCGTCTTTAATGTTTTTTATATATTCGGGTAATTTATTATATACTTTTATAGACATGGCAAATGGGCTGGAAGAATGAGATTTTAGTTTTTTTTTTTTTTTTTTTTTATAATTAATAATACAAATTGGGAGGTTTTTTGTATACTTTTGTTTTTTTTTTTTTTGTTAATATGTACAATGCCGTAGCTGAGCCATGCATATGCATACGCGTAGTAGGTTGTTATCCCGGTGGTTATATCTGTTGTTTTTTTTTACTTCTCGTAACGCGTACATAAAGCTGCTTAACTTCCTAAGTAATTTTTCTATATGTGGTTTCCAAGTAATATGGGTATCTATTATTAGGCCCAGTAGGTTGTGTTCGTTAACTGTATCTATAGTGAAGCCGTCATTATCTATTTTTATATCTAATTTTGGTTTTTGATATGGGTGAAAAGACATTATTTTAGTTTTCGATAAGTTTCCGCAAGTTATGTTTAGTTAGCCAGTCCGTTGTTCTTAATAATATGTTGTTAATTTTTTTCTGTTAGATTCATTGGATTTTGGCTTGATATAAGTATAGAAATATCGTCCGCGAACATGACACAGTATTCCTTCAGAGCCTCTGCAAAGTCATTAATGTAAATTAAAAACATAAGACACCCAGCACGTTGCCTACGTCACAGAGAACGAGTGAAGCCGGCCACAGTCGAGCGTGTACCTGCTGTACTGCCATATGTTAGAGGAGTCACTGACAAG